ATATCCGCTGATTTAAATATCAATTTGGTGCAAAAAACAGTATCGACGATTTATAACGAGTAACTTATGCTTTTTTGTTTTTAAATTTTTGCTAATCACTCGGGCATTTTCCTGGAATGCGCTTTTTTCTTTGAAATCGGTTTTGCGCAGTCATTGTTGAGCCTTATTGTTCTCATTTTTGCAGCATTCTGAAAAGCATTGAAACGGAGAAGGAAGCGATTTGTTTAACACCAACGAAAGCAGCTGTCGAAAATCCGGTAAGAACCTGCCTAGCAACAGTCTTGTTTGAGTTTCTTCATAAAAATAGCAGTATTAACAATTCTTTAATATTTCAGGATCGCCTACGATCTGTACTAAAAGAAAAGGCGTATAAATCACAGATTGTACACGCACGCCATCGGCGCCATTTCATTGATCCGTCGATTCCCTCAACAAGCGCTGACGAGAGAAATCAGGAGAATCCAGTAACTGCTGCAAAGGTGCTCTCTTCCTTTAGATATTCAGAATTTATTTTTGTTCCCTAGTAACGTGCTTAGCACTGGGCGCAGTATTGGCTAATAGATGGGGAAGTATTAACTGTTTTTGATTTCTGAATTTGCCGTAAAAACTACCAATTGTTCGGTTTTTTCATTGCGAAACGAAAGTACAGTCGTTTAACAGATCATTGCAGGTGAAAACAAGCGGAGGAAAAAAGTAGGGCTTAATTACTTTCATGTTCTTCCCTTTCCACAACATGCCATTTCACGAATAGAGCATGAAAGAGGGTTTTCATGCGTAAAGACTCGTGTTTTTAAAAAAAAAAACTTATTTTTAAAATGAACCTTTCTTCCAACAATCTCCAACCAAGCACTTTATTATGATCTCAAAAAGGTATTGTAATACGATATCTTATAAGACGTGGCACTCCTTACAGAACTCGAAAAAGCGACTTTCGAAGAGGTGGTAGCGGTATTTGCTAGCGGAAAGTACGCAGTTCAGGCTGGTGTAGCTGCTGCCGATGTATGAAAGTACCCCAGTAGTATTACCAGTTCTCCACACTGATTGTTCAGGCCTCGTTGTGTTCATGGTTTTCATTTTAGCTTAT